ACCACTCGGCCAACGAGGAAATATTTTAATCTGTAAAACAATAAACATTTACAATGTTAATTCGTACAACCAATCAGCGTGTGCGCAATAAATATCATGTTATTAGATTGCGGTACAGATAAATGAACATAAATGAAGAATAGTGTAGTTCAAGTGCTCAGTGGAGTATCAATTGTCTATGAATCATGATGCTAGGTATCGTCATCATCCGTGGGGACTTTATAGCCACATGACAGGTTTATTGAACCGACAGATAAGGTGAATAGAACTATAAATTAATTACGTACGTAGTTGCATAATGAATAATGAACGTTATGCGTTTAGAAATATGAATGAAAACGGTTTTACGCACGTTTTCTTACGATATGTTCTTTCTAATTGTGATGTGCATTTTACTGCAAATTATTTAAGTAACAAATTATATCTAATTACTTAGCTATCTGTTTGTTTTAACCTTTTTTTGGAACGCGTAGGTACCTATTTCGAGGCACAGAGTTCAACGACATAAACCTATTTGAAACAATTTACCTACCTATGTTCAGACGTCAATATTTTAAAATCCCTTCATAAAATTGCAAAGATCATTTAGCAGCAATTACTACATACATAACCTTACACCTGTTTCCCATAGGAGTAGGCAGACACTATTGAACGCGGCATTTACTGACGATAATCACAGGGTATGAAAATTAAAAATCTAATTAGTCCGTAAGTTAGGTAATGAAAAAATATTAGACACGTATTTTTTACTTGGTCGTATAATAAAACAATACTTAGATAAAACGAATCAAAGTTTAGGAGTGGGGGTAAAACGTCATTTCTACGTATAAAATTTACATAGAAGTGACGTCACGCGACATTTCAAATCAATATATCGTCGAAAGTATTTATTTCTGTAAAAAAATAAAAAATACGTGTTTAATGGTTTAAAATAATTTACCAGGAATTAAAATAAATTTTACATTAAAATAAAAATTAGGCATCGACTCTATTTTATACCTTTGTAGTTATATCGCGACCATAATATATGAAAATGAGGGTAAAATACTCTATCAACGTTATCATAGATAAAACATTTATGGCTATCGCATTTTTACAGCTATTAATATTCAATGGTTAGATAAAATATTAGGCCTTTGATCTTCCAAGTGGGACATAATCTCTAAAGGTTATCAAATTATGGACACTGTCGGACACGGACAGTTTCGGTGTCCGTTCTCCGAAACGGCTTGACCAATTTTGATATTATTTTCGTATAGATATAGATAGATATAGATTTTTTTTTATAGCCGGTAAACGAGCCGACGGATCACCTGATGGTAAGCAATCGGCGTCGCCCATGGACACCTGTAACACCAGAGGCGTTACAAGTGCGTCACCGGCTTTTTGGGGATTAGGAGTTTGAGGATCGTTGGGGATTCAGAGATTGGGGAAATTGGGGAAGGGGAAGGTAATTGGGCCTCCGGTAACCTCACTCACACGAAGAAACACAACGCAAGCGTTGCTTCTCGTCGGTTTTCTGTGAGGATGATCGTGAGTGAGATGATCAGAATTAGAACATCTAATATTATGTAAGTCGGTATAGATTCGGCAGCTAGCAATGCTCGACTTGATTGTTAAGCAAATTTCGATTTTAAAACCTATGTGAAAAAGCATATAATCAAAATTGTAAACCTTGCAGGTCCTCACAGTATTCTTATTTCAATAAAAAATGAGGTCTGTTGTCAGTATAGTGTGTCTTCCTGGTTGTCTAGTCATTTAATCTTGTGTATGTACATAAGTATCAATGTAGTTTGTAGTACGTATGTATGTAGCTCGTCTCTAATACATTTGTAGCTAGAGACCTTGAACTGTCTGACTATTTAAAGTAGTAATATCGTAGAGTTTCATAACATAAGAGTTAAAATATTGTCAATTTTAACTGTAGATATAAAACTATAATATAGTTACGAGGCCAAAGTAACTTTATTATAGTTTTATCAGTAGATATTATATTCTGACTGCCTCATTGGCCAAGTGGTCGCAAGTGCGACTGCCGGGCAAGGGGTCTCGGGTTCGATTCCCGGGTCGGGCAAAGTATAACAAAGTTTCTAAAAAAATCTCAGTAGTAGCACGAAGACTGGAATTGTGGTATATGGCAATAGGCGTGAGCCTATTACATGGGACTTATAACATTAATAGTAAAAAGTGGATGTTACATTGTAGTGGTATAATGTGCACCTCTGCCTACCCCTTCGGGGATGAAAGGCGTGATGTTATGTTATGTTATTATATTCTCCGATCACATCCATTACTATTACATGGGGCTCATAACATAAATAGTGAAAAGTGGGTGTTAAATTGTACAGTAGCATTAAGTGTCGAATTGTGCACCTGGCTACCCCACCAGGGATAAAAGGCGTGATGTTATGTTATATTATATTTTGATTACAGTATAGAACTATTATGTAAACAGATATAATGATAGTTGATGATATTTACACAAAATTAGACTTAGATAATACTAATGTATGGGCAGTGATGGGCAAAAAGTATTTAGATTAATAATTACAAATTACAGTTACATTGTAATTTGTAATTGAAATACTTTGTAACAGATTATTTAAGTAACTAATTGCAATGAGTACATAATGTAATTAAATACAAAGTAATTGAATTGCAAGTTAATCTAATTACATTATAATAGATTACATAAGTAATCTGATAAAATGTAATTACCTACACATTTATATAAGTATTGGGAAAAGTTTTGACAACAAATACGAAAATAAAACACATAATTATACAAAAAAAAAGTAAGTCAATCATTGTTTAGTTTTAAATATTTTATTAGTAATAATTTTCACCATTGGCTGATAAAAAAAAAATGTTTTCTGATTTATAATTTAAATTATGACGACGACTTGTAATCTTAAGAAAATGTTACGTGCTTATAATACAAAAGATTAGAAGTAACTGAAGTGGGCGGGTGAAGCAGGGTGGCTAGGAGCGACGACGCACGAGCACAATGCATAGAACTCCCCGCTCCCCCGCACATTATACTTACTACCCTATGACGTCGAACGGGCCGCACTTGCAGTACACCTATATCGCAACTGTGTGATGCAAGCATGCGACATTTCATATTCAAAACAATTATAATATAATTAAATACTATGTAATTAGGTTACTTTGTAATCAAATTATCTTGTAATGAAATACATTATAATTAATTTCATAGCACATCCAAAGTAACTTAATTACAATGTAATTGAATAATACGTAATTAAATTACTTTTTAATTCAATTATTATGTAATTCAATTATTAATTAGATTACATAAATAACTAGTTACGCCCATCACTGTGTATGGGCATCTGTTGATTGATCGGATACTGTCCTGATTTGTTGAAGGTCGACAATTAAAAACATTTTAGCTGTATCACATATTGGCTGTGCACTAATGCACTTAGTATCAATTTTATCATTATCATAATCTTTAAGTTTAACCCATATCTTTGTTCCTTCCTAATACTACTTTAAATAAATGAGGTGGGCAGAGACAGAAATTATGGACTTATACAATGGTAAATATTGTTGGATATACCTAACATAATATCACGCCATTTGTCCCCGAAGGGGAAGGCAGAGGTGTACTTCATGACACTGTACAATGTAACACCCACTTTTCACTATTTATGATATGAGTCCCATGTAATAGGAGGTGAGCCTATTGCCATACCTATGCAGTTGGATATACCTATAACACTATAATAGGGTAGATGCTTAATTTTTATTTGAATGTCCGTCTAGTCTAGTAGCTTATTTTAAATCATTAGATAAGTGTTTTTTATTTTCTTACAGAAAATAATACTTTCGACGATATATTGATTTGAAATGTCGCGTGACGTCACTTCTATGTGAATTTTATACGTAGAAATGACGTTTTAGCCCCCACTCCTAAACTTTGATTCGTTTTATCTAAGTATTGTTTTGTTTTATTATACGACTAAATAAAAAAATACGCGTCTAATATTTTTTCATTACCTAACTTACGGACTAATTACATTTTTAATTTTCATACCCCGTCATCATCCCAATTTCTAACTAGACCTATCTTTAGACACATTTATAGAGTTATCTTTTAACAATAACTATAAAACCTAGGTACAATGTTGCCATATCGAAACAAATAAATCGTCATCAAGATACAGTTACATGACGAACGTTTTACATGATAATATCTAGTGAATACGCTATCAAAAACATTTTTAATAGGTGACATTTATCTAGTACTTGTTTGATGAAGCTTTACTCATATTTGAACATAATTTTAATTGAAATTGAGTAGAACAATTGTGTAATAAAGTGTTTTTTGATACGTAATTGTGACTCAAGGGAAGTACTTTCTTTTGTTAACGTGCTCATAGTATCTTGTAATTAGTTTGATTTTATTAAACATGTGTATGTACTATGTATCTAAGTATAACTATATTTAGGCAAACAAGGGTACTTGTAAAACGTTCAACAACCTTTCAGGTGACAGTCATCTGAGCCTGAGGCCTTAGTACGAGTTTGTTTTACGCGTTCTGCGCTCTGATTGGTTGGTTTATTGGCGCCGGCCAATCAGAGTGACGAACGCGTACTCGTTTCGAATACTTTAAACGTAAAACAAACTTGTACTGAGGCCTCAGACATGTTAGATACATGTATATGGACACATTTTTCTATGAGTCTGCAATAGTGAATATTAATGAACTCTCATTACATAGGCAAGTTTAATTCGTCGAGTACCGTCATTATAGACACAATTATAGAACAATAGGTTGCGGTCACCGGTGACCGCTTGGTGTTTGACAGTTTAATAATCATTCTACCACGTCTATTGCTGACCATAGACGTTTCTCAACGACTTCCAGATCAGCTGATTGAAATCCATACTTTACTTTCACATAAATGAAAGATATTATATCTTCTATTTATTCAACATTCTGCTCAAACACGCTATGAATAAAGTACGTTTTAGTTCAATCAGTAATCTACGTTTAATTTTGGTGTTGAAATATAGGCATTATTATCTTACAGACAAAACAGAATATCGTCTGATTTTACCTCAAAGACGATAGATAGAGCACGATTATTTCAGTTATTTCTAGACACTATTATAATCAATCAATTGAGGCAATTGTTATGTTTGCCTTGTCTAGTTTTAGGGGACATTGTTATTTTAGGCTAGAAATAGTACAAAGCTGTTTAGTTTCTTGCTGATAATAGTGAGATATTTTTTAGGCCGCTTCGTTTAGTAAAATGATTTCCTTTATCTATAAATACTTATCCAGATTTCCGATTATCTGAAGATTCAAAAATTAAGGATATCTTAATGCCTATATTAACCACTTTTTTTTTAAGGGCGGAATATCATCCGAATGATTTCTCCCGCCTGGGTGAGACGGGAGGGAGTGTCAGCCTCTTACTGACTAAAAACCACCCCGTTCCTACTCCTGCACTTAGAGCCGGAGCCCCTGTAATCCGATAAGTTCTCCGCGGCTCCGAATCGGCATCAGCCCTATTGGGCCCCATCTATTTATTTATTTATTTATTCGAAGGAGTACGGCCACATCACAAACATATAACATTGAAAATACACAATAGTAACAAAATAAGGGTCTGATGCATGCGACAATAATGGCGTACATAGCATTGGCAATTCATAGGCTTAACAGTGGCTTAAAAATAAAATACAATTTGAGAATTACGAAAAATAAAAAAACAAAAATATTCCACACCATACACACATTGAAACGAGAATTTAACAAGTTCAATTTTCTATATAATTATCATATGTCTGATTAAAACAAAACAAAATAACAACAAAAATTAATTAGAATGTATGCCATATTAAGTCCAATAATAATAATTTAATACAAATATAATATCATCCGTGGTGGTCTGATGGCTTTTTGAGGCGCACGCGGAACGCGACGCGCCGTACGCTCGGGTTTATTTTAACCACTAAGAAGTAGTTTTTTTCAGGTCATGTAAAGTACTATTAGGTTTTTATCACTCTAAATTATGGGGTCTTATCAATACCTCGATAGAAGATACCCATTTTTTTTGAGGAGGAAATATCATCCAATGATTTCTCCCGCCTTAGGTCAGGCGAGAGAGAGTGTCAGACTCTTACTGACTAAAAACCACCCCGTTCCTACTCCTGCTACAGGCCACTCCTGCTCGGGAGCAGTTTCGGATAGGACCTAGATAGCTATAGAAGAGGTTTCTAGTAGAATAAGCATCTAGTAGAAGAAGTTCTATGAATCATTTACCTAAGGGTTCATTGTACCCATACATTAACATAAATAATACATAAACAAAAATAAATAAGGCAGAAATACTTACAAATTAGGATTTAGCAAGTGTGTTGTGACGCTTCTTTCGTTTTCTACGAATCTGACCTTTATTTCAACACCCGGAATGAACACTTTCCTATGCACTGAGTTGAACTTTACCGGCGGGGTGTGGATATTTTTAAATGGCACTGTCGTTTGTCTTGGTGCTGGAAGAAAAAATATTATTTTAACATACTTACATTAAAAATAATAATAATCTGCTGAAGTCACTAGCATGTTCCAATATTAAACCGTTTTTAAGTTTTAATTTTTCGCTTACAATAGTCTGTTACAAATCCTATAAAAAGGGCGAGTCTATTGCCACATACATTGGGCAAATGTCCAGCTTCCATGCTATCATGCTATTAAATATTACGAAATTCTAATTTTAACCAAGATGAGCTTATAATACGGCTCTCATAACTACGCGGCAGTTACAAATGTGAATACTCGGCCCTTGAAGTATTTTTTTATCGTTTTTAAGCCTCTCTATTTTTTATAGTTGGCGGTAAGTGATGATGCGGCCTACGTTGGAGCACGCCTGTCTAAAGTCAGAGCCAAACACGTGCCATCAAGTCTGGCGCTGGCATAATAAGCAACTTACCCACCTGAGTGGATAGTATAGACAGGCATACAGATTTTATGACTCTTCAGAAACCACAGGCTCTGGGAAGGAATTCTACTCCTTAGCATTTTTTTTTTTTTTTAAGGGGGGAAAATCATCGAATGACTGCTCCCGCCTGGGTGAGGCGGAAGGGAGTGTCAGACTCTTACTGACTAAAAACCACCCCGTTCCTTCTCCTGCACGTCGAGCCGGAGCCCCGGTTACCCGTTAGGTTCTCCGCGACCACTCCTTAGCATGTCTTATTAATAACCGCGAAAAACGGGGCTAGTGGGTGAAATATTTAACATATACCTATACTGAAAGTGTGGTGTTGCTAGTCCAGTACCTTAATAGTAATTAGTATTATCTCTATAATTACTTTAGAGTGATTAGAACCACCGCTCAAACAATTTTTACGTAGGTACAACCGTTCTCCAAATGGACTCAAGGACTGACTCATACGCTATGGCTATAATTTACCTAAACATGCATTTTTAATATGAATCAGACTTGTTATCAAAATTCGCGAGATAAGGAAAGATAAAGATAGACTTGTTTCCATTGCATTAGGATATGATATGATAGGGAGGAGGAGGATATGCTTACCTATTGCCTATCTAATCAAACAGAAATTAATACTTTATTCTTTTATTCTTTTGTCCACTAAAAAAAGTTAAGTGAAGGAAATTTAATGATAACATAATCGGTCTATCTAATCAGTTGGTTTATATAAAATTCATTCATTCATATTTTGTAAAAGCATGGCCAGACATGAATATTATTTTCTCCTGTGGGGTGTATAAACACGTAATTTCACATGAACATCCAGCCCAGATCCGGAACTTTCCTATTGACTGTATGGTTGGCACGGTGGCTGGGCCCGCACGGAGCAATTCTTTGTGTGATCCACAAATTTGGTTTCGGGGCTGGGAGTCATGTGTATGTGATATTGTATGTTAGTAAACGCACCCACACAGGAGAAAATCCTAGTGTGGGGCAAAAAAAATGTGTCGTCACCATTTTTAGGAGAGGAAACCGACCAGTTTTAAATGTTTATAGGCTTATTCTTATCACAAAACAGCATTAACCGTTTATCTAGAAACGGTAACATCAGTTGATCTGTTCCCGTACAGATTGAATGAATGATGATTTTTATCTTTTTACAAAAAAATATTCCTAAAGTTTAGTTTATATAGAACTTATCTGTCTAGAGATAAGCATAACGTATGATTGTGGATAAATCATTAGAGGACCACCGCAAAACTGATAAACAGATTTCGAGCTACTCGTTCATTTATTAATTTATCATTTATGTGACAAAGTAGATAACACCTGTATGCATTTTTTACATTGCGATGCGACAAGGATTATTTTGTGTGGGGGGAAAATCATCCAATGATTTCTCCTGTTTAGGTCAGACGGGAGAGTGTCAGACTCTTACTGACTAAAAACACCCCGTTCCTAGTCCTGTTCTTCGAGCCGAAGCCCCGGCAATCTGTAAAGTCTTCCGCGGTTCCGTATCGGGCATCATGGCTCATGGCTCTTTGAGGAGCGCGCGGAACGCGACGCGCCGCGGAGTTGTTTTTAGTCAGTAAGAGTCTGACACTCCCTCCCGCCTTACCCAGGCGGGAGCAGTCATTCGATGATTTTCCCCCTTGAAAAAAGACCTTATTTCCGATGTCTAGAGACTACTTTTGTATGAACAAATAGACAAGGATGCGACAAATAAAGTGCACTATTGTTGTTGCTTTGAAATTACTGTGCGTCTGTTAACTTTGCACTTATGTATTGAATGTGTTTTTGTGGGTAAGTAAATGCTAGCAGCTTTGTAGGGCTTTGTAGGACATAAGCAGTAGGAAGAATAGTGATTGGCAAAATAAGGTGGAATGAGGTATTTTCTGTTTATCTATCTAAATGTAAATAAATTATCAAAATACTTGTAAGTGTATATCTTCTGAACAGCTGCACCAAATTAGATAATGCAACCGAGCGATGACGAAGTTTAAACTTAATTAAAAATACTTATTAAAATCTAGAACTTACCACTAACACCATTTTCCTCCTTATTATCGACTTTGTCCCCTTCTATGATGGACAGTGACTCAGGTACAGCCAGGCTCTCATCAAAGTCCGAGTCCAACACTGGACTCAGGGAATCCATGGTGGGAAATCCGAATCCAGCCAAGCAGTCGCCCGAGGCAGACGGTGCTGGAGTAGGAGTATCCATCCCGTAGTTCGTGTAGCTCGTATACCCGTAAAGCTGTTCATCTATAAATTAGTAGATACAGTTATATTATTTGTTCAGAATGCTTTAAACACTAAGGCTTGCATGTTTCACAACTATTTATGAGATACGATAGCTAATAAATAGACGGATCATCTACTGATGGTAGGTAAGCAATCCGCGCCGTAACACTCGAAGAATTACAAGCGGGTTGCCGATCTTTTACTTGATTGGGGAACCTATAACTATCTAACTAAAGTTGAAATTTCTTTGGGGAATATTCATAGATTTAGTGTACATGAGAAAAAACCTTGTAAGCTTTGTATCAAAACAACCTAGTATTTTAAGGTTTTGCGTATGATGTCATAAATATAAAACCAGATTTAGCTTCACACTTAGGTATTAGCTTTGCAGTATTAGAACTATTTGGGCAAAAGTCAGAATGACGTGATCGGCTTATAAGTAACCACTGCAGTTGACTTTTAAAATATTGAAAAAAATAAATCAAAGAAGGATTCTATTAATGTCAAATAACAATGTAACTAGTGCAAGTTGCAACGTAGTAACACAAATTGATAACTAATTACGTTCCATATTTTATTTATGAGTCACGGACATTTTTAAAAATATACTAAATATGTACCAAACATAATTTTGATGCCATCTACAATACATTTGAATATAAGCCTTCCCCGGCGACAATCAAACTATTCGGTATAAATGTATATCAATAATGCAATTTAAATTAAAAATAAGCATTGTATTGAGTTCAAACCATTGTGTAATACAAAATTATAATAATGAATCATGAAATATATATTGTAAACAATGTCATATCCTGGTTTTCCCCAAATGGTAGCTATATTAATCTTCGGAAAGATACAAGTAAACTTAAAGATAAATCGAATCCTAATTTTAGTTCTATGTTAAGAACATGGGAGCTCCATTTTAATTTTGAATGAATAACTGTACAGACGCATGCAAAATTATAAAAAATATCAGAATAAAACAATTTAAACTTTACACCAAAAGAACAAAGTTTAAAATCAATTTAAAAAACATACAAATTGTGGTTAGTACCTTATTCTCATATTTCTCATATGAGACCATGAACAATATGAACATTGATGTCAACACAGTAGTACCAAACGAGTCCTTAAATGGTAACTAGAACCCAAGACACAGTGAGACAGGATGAAACAATTTACCATGAAGTATAGAACAATTTATTTAACAAGCGTCCTCACAAGACACTATAAATAGCTAACACATGACTTACTAACTATATCTGCAATGCAGTTATTTACAATCATTTTATGTCACACTTCAAACTCTTTGTTTTATTTAAAGATCCATTATATGACCATATTTAATAGCAGATTGTTCTTTACTTGTATTGTTTAATATCAAAGACTATTTACTTATTGGTAGCGGTGCAATTTATAATTTATTATCTAGTAGCATTATAACATGAATGTCCTACTTGGAGTTATGGTGAGAATAGATGAACAAAAACTCGGTAAGCATTTAGTTAAGTGAAAAAGATTAATGAATATAAAAGAATAAAGATTAACTACACCAATATTGTATGCATTCATAAATTATTAAACTTTCGCATAGCATAAATTGTCACCATTTTGCTATTTAAATACCATTAGAAATGATCAGAGAAAGATAGTACACTCTTATTAACAATATAAATATTATTTATTAAACTGTCAGGTTAATTTGTACTAAAATAATTTTATGGCATAGTTTTAGCATAGTTGATACCACTATAAAAGAGTATTAAATTTTAGTAACATTACGTCACATTAAAAAGTTATTAACATAGATATTTAGTCAATATAATCACAAGGATTACAGTCTTACCACAATCTATCCACAGCTTATGAAGCTAATGTGATAATAACAAAATCTAGGAGTGACCGGATGATAATAAAAAAGACATGAATGGCAACATTAAAAAAATATAAGAACAAATACAATGATTAATAATTGGTTGTCAGATTATCGTAAAGATTTAAGGTATGGTATGCATTATTAGATGTTATTTAAAGATTTATTTTATGATGAAAAATTGCATAAATAAGTATTGTTGTTTGATTTTTAAACTATCAAATACCAAGCGGTCGCTGGTGACCGCAACCTATTGTTCTTTAATTGTGTCTATCATGACGGTACTCAACTGTACGGTACTAAATTTCCTTTATGTAAAAATAATTGAGGAGTTACTTTCATAAGAAGTATTATTTCCAATAAGAATAGAAAAAGCAAGTGGCAATAGAAAAGTGTGATCAAAATAGTCAGACTTTTGGATCTTTGAAATTTTAATAAAACAACAAATTCACTGATCAAAGTCAGTTTAATTGTTTGCAGATGTGTCATAGTAATAATCTGATAAAATTATACAAATTATCAAGAATGTATTGTTACAATTTGGATAAGCATTAGCAAGTACTTACCGTAGGATATAGCATGACCAAGGACAACATTTTTTATTGCCCTTACTTAGGAATTAGATGTCTTTAAAACTACTAATTAAAGAAAGAATACCAAGAAACCCCCTGAAGGCCAAAGTCACCACAGATCTAAGATCTAGCACTCACACACACACATTACAAAGATAAATTAAACAAAACACCAAAGCCTAATAAACACTGAGTTAATACACCATTAAAACCTTTTCCATCACTCACTTTATAAAGACACTGGCCACTTATTAAACAAATATAAAAATTAAATTCAAACATAGAACACTGTACTGTACCTCGTTTGATTAAGTTATGGAAACTCAATGTCAAATCCTTACGTTCCATACGTTTGTTGGTTATATTATTTTCTCGGTATTCAGTAGTAATCACACGGTACCCATTGGAGTGCTGGTAACTAATGTGTTGTCCATTACACGGTACAAAACCAACACTTGTGTACATAATCTACGCCGATAAGATAATAAAATATCACGCTTATAATAGTACTGTTTTGACGGTTGCGAAAAGAGGTTGCATTATAAAAATTCACTGTTTTCATGGCAAAAGTTGTACCGACGACAGTGAATCGTCGTTCACGGTTGAGCGAGCAAGGCCTTTAGAAGTTTTTTTTACATTGGGATAAGTGAAATCTTTACTTACTAAAATTGTTTGTTTCTTTTAGGAAATGATGTTCGGGAGGTACATGATGTAGCGATAATGAATGAAACAAAGGCTTCCGAAGCCCGGATGAACTAATGCTCGATTCATTCGAGGTAATTACTCTACTAGTTCAAGGCCCTTCGCGTTAAAAAAATTGGTACCTATATCTCAGGAAGAGTGACGTAATGGGTACCAAATGGTTAAGTGCTCGTCAACATTTGAAACATTTTGATTTGATTTATGTAAATAAGGTTGAGACTTGATATTTTAATTACATTTCAACTAAAAATCCAAGTTTATTGACTATAGTAATTAAAACAGTTCTTTATAATAAATCTGACTGTTAAAAACCAAGTAAAAATAAAATTCCCGAAGGGGAAGGCAGACATGCACATTATGCCACTGTACAATGTACCACCCTCTTTTCACTATTTATGTTATGACTATGAGCCCCATGTAATAGGGGGTGAGCCTATTGCCCGGGCATAATTCCAGACACCGTGCTACCACTGAAATTTTTTTTAAAACCATAATGATAAAATTACTTTGTTAAATAATTGGTATTTCAAGAATAATTAGAATATTCGATTATTTTCACTTCTAATGAAATCTAATTCATTCATAGAGTACGTAAAATATTGCAAACTCTACTTAGTGATTTTTTTTTCTTAAATGATATAAATTATATTTATGTAAACAAACTTCTACAAAATGTTTGTGACCTCAGAGGATTATGTCTGACGTCATCTTTTTGACAGTTTGGTGACGTCGACTTGATGGTTCCAGCCGCGTTCAGAATTTAAAATGTCTAACTTTAACTTAAACTATTCGTTCAAAAATGTGTATAATAACATTGTTAACATGTTTCATAATATGTTATTAATTAAAGTAAACTCTTATTATATAAAGTTTTAATTTATTTTAAGTTTATTGTTACCTACATATTTAATATACGAGTTTTGGCTATTGAATCCTAATTTCAGTGAACTTTATTATCGTAACGCCTGGTACCTTTATGTTAGCAAACGTTTATTACTAAACAGAACTTGGTAATCGCACATCCGTGCAGGCGCTATGTCTATTTTTCTTTTTCCTTTAATTTTTTTTTAAATTTGTTTTTTATAAGTAGGGCTTTTTTCGTAAGAGAATAACGTCATTCCCTTTTTACTTAATATGAGCTTTATTAACTCGTCGAGTACCGGTTTTGTAGACACAATTATAGAACAATAGGTTGCGGTCACCGGTGACCGCTTGGTGTTTGACAGTTTAAAACACGTATGTGTAATATACCACCACTTGATATGTTCCTACTATAACTTGAAATATATATTGGTAAATATTTTGCTCAAGTTTTACAATATCTCATGTATAGTGCGTAATGTTACTCCCGAGCGTGATAGGAAAGATTCCTCCACTGTTATTGTAGTATATTACTATTTTTGTAGTAATTAATTTACTTAAATATACAAAAACCCTGAAATTAGTATTTCTGCTTTACTGTACCTTGCAACAATTTTGTAGTTTACACTAAGAATTATTCCCTGCGAGAATCAAACCCGTGACACGTTACATAGTGGGTTACCCAGTCACTGCGACAGTTAAACAATGTTTAGTACAGTATATTGTTTTAATTTTATTTATGGAATAAGAGGCAAACGACCACCAGGATAACCTGATGGTAAGCGATGGACACCCGCAACACCAAAGGAGTCACAGGTGCGTTCCCGACATTTAAAACGAATACGTTCTGAAAATTATTACTGTGTGTTTTTTTATACTTGATAGGTTAATAGTTATGTCAACCCAGTGGCGTAGCGTGCCCCGTATAAAAATCTTTGGGGGGCCGTAAACATTTATTTACAGGGGGCCTTTCATAATTGTTTAAGTTATTGTAAACGGTTTTCTAAAAAAATATTATAGAAAACTGTTTTCCAAGGATTTTTGGAAAAGTACATTAAAATCTACAAAATGATCAATTTTCAACACACCAGGACAACTTTCCTGGCAACTCTCATACTTTAGCCCAAATTATCGGACTATGGTGAGTCGTCTGGAGGTTTTCTTCCCGTTGAAATTCATCCCCTAAATTTGTTCATACAAAAGTAGTCTCTAAGCATTGGAAATAAGGTCTATAATGTAGGTAGTGGAGAGCGGTCACCGGTGACGCTTGGGGATCTATGGGTTAAGTTCTGCCAATTTCAAACGCAAGCTTTACGTGGTGAAAAATAAAAATATTTTAAAATTAGTGATTCCTGAAATAAAAAAAAATTGGAAAGTTTTTATCAATTTTTCTTTACGCACCTTGGCCGTACAATTGATATGGCAGATAAGGCGCTACTTTAGCCCCTGTGTAGACTATCATGTTGTACCTGACGTACATACTACTACTAAATATCAAGATATACATATCCAATTTCCACGGATGGGGCCCAATAAGGCTGATGCCGATTCGGAGCCGCGGAGAACTTAACGGGTTACCGGGGCTCCGACCTTGAAGTGCAGGAGTAGGAACGGGGTGGTTTTTAGTCAGTAAGAGGTCTGACACTCCCTCCCAACTCACCCAGGCGGGGGAGAAGTCATTTTATCATGGTCCTGCTTTGTATAATTTTGCCTCTTATTCAACGATTAGTTTATGTTGGTTTATTAAAGCTCATGTCTAACCGTGTGTATCTACCAACTCATCTACCAACTCATCTACCTTCTTATTTGTACTTATACTCTGTTTGCGATAGCTTTGGACAGAAGTTAAAAAGGTGTTTTTAGGGGACACTTAGTAAAAGTGTAGGTAATACGCAAATCTGCACTTGATCTCTCACGTACCGAAGTTGGTAGGTAGGTAGCCGCTAAAAACACGGCATCGTCACGACTTATGTATAAAAACTTTATCTACCTGTAAGTTTCAAGAAACTTAATTTATATTCTTTTAGGACAACCTGTCGAAACATTTGACTGTGTAATAGAAAAATGAAATAGTTTCAATGCAACAGACATATTTCCTATTTAGGTTAATGCGGTTATGTAGAACGTTTTGTGATTCATGTTCTGTGTTCCAAGCACACTAGATGTTCAGACGTGCTTACCCATTAGCTACTTGCACAACAAAGGACATGTATAGCATGTAAAATATTTTACAAAACTGTCAGCTTTCATTTTAAAAACTAGACTGAAAAATTGCTGCTGAATGCGCGCTTTGTGCGAACAAAACTGGCCTATCTCCTTTTGAGACCAACCAATATTCATTGAGCTGCTCAAAGTATGAAATGTGGCAAAAAGTCAACGGTAGAGGGGTTGTAGTATCGAGTGCAGCGGCTCAACGTTTATCGGTTAAACTAAATAATATCACGGATTAACATTTACACATGCGGCCAGCGGTGGGCAGAGAGTGTCGCGAGAGCACCAGTGGCCGCAGTCGCTTTTCGCGCACCGTCCGGCCTCCGCGTACATTTCCGAACGCACGCTCGCAACGTAACACACGCTTCCCGCCACAAATTCAAACATCACAAACCCTACGTTCGAATAATCGAAATAATTATTTTTGTTCATTGCAATCGATGTGCACTCGCGCGTAAAGTCCGAACCGACGGCGACACTTGCCGCCAGTGTCCGGATTGCGTCGAGGACGTTGACATCTGTCAATTGATACGGAAATCGATCTATATCGATTTGAATTTTCCGAATAATGTAGAATTTTGGCGGGAAGTGCGTGTTGTGTTAAAGTTTTTTTTTCAAACTTAACAGTGAAGGTGGTATCGGTGTTTTCAACAAGTGACATGGAATAATGGTGGATTCCACGTAATAAATTAATCAGTGCATATTTACAACAAATTGACGTTGAAGACAGTTTATTATTACTGAAAGGTGAGTTTCACGTAATATAATTTTGTGTAGGTAATTATTTGTGAGTCAATGATAAATCTTTCGCTTTCTAAAGTCTCGACCATGAGTGTGGCAGCAGTCACGACTGAGTTCTGTCCGAGCGGATACCTAGATACCTTAATTTTGTTCAAAAGTAAATCATTTCGCGCGATAAAACGTTCAAGGTATGCGAAATAATTATAAATGATATGTTTCGGTAACATTTTGCAGAGTAAGGCTTGTGCAAAAACTTGTTTTATGAAAGTAAACGGTGGTACCCTATATCACTGCGCTGCGTTGCGACATTTCACTTCTGAGATAATTAAATATTGTTTTAATCAAAGCAAAATAACTTTCACGTTTAGATGGGTAAGTTTTGTAGGAACAGTAGAAAGATACATGTATGTGTTTAACTCGTTGTACCTTACATCAACATGTAATAAATAACTCCAGTTTTATGATACACACAATGTTGCATGTTGCACACAATGCAATATAATATACTATCTATCACAGAATTTGCTAACCAAAACGACAATATAAAAATAATCGAAAAAATATGACCAACTTCTCACTGAATTATGTCACTGGTCTATAGATTTGTTTTTAAACAGAGAGCTACGTTTTATGATAATAGTAACAATTCATTTCACTTAAATATAATTATTTAAAGTTACAATTGAACTGGTAATACACTATCACTAAAAGCCTAGCATACCTATTTGTAAACACTATAATTTCCTAGTCTGATTACAACTTGATTAAATTGTAATGGCTTTGTTATCATTCATAACAGATAAAGACTGTTTTTTGGTACAATAATAATTACAAAAGATATAACGAATTAATCAGAAAATACAAGCCATTTCCAGCAACTTTTCGAGGATAGTCGACTATTTTCAAGTCAACACGAGGGCTCATAATAGGTCAACCTCGAACATTTACGAGAAAAAGCATAAATAACTGTAATACTTTATTTAGTATTATTGTTCTTGCCGACTTACTCGACCAAGTGCAATTGTTACAGTTTGCCTACACAAATACCCGGATCTAGAAACTATTACACGATTCAAATGTCGTTGGTCAAGAATTAGATCTAATCGGTCGGTTAGTGCCGCCATTTGCCGAAATGGTAGCAAAAGGTAGCAACTCAACACTGTACGAACCTTGCTAGCAATTATATTCAATGTCAAATATTTTCATTTTTTGGAACAAGATATTGCTTAATACTTCAGATCTGTTTTGATACAAATATTATATGATTTTGTTTGATTATGGCGCTGACAAACTTCATGTCTCATTTCTATAAAGAGGTAGGTAGAAGTGGTTAGGTGTATTACAGTTAGTTTCAGTGGTTTTATGTGTATTGGCTATGTATAAGTCAATACAAAAAATCTTCTAAGTTATAAAGAAAATACAGTGAAGTTAATTACTTACATTTTAATTTTATTAATTTCGAATGGAAAACACTCTGTCTGTGGCTAGTTAATAATGCATCATTTTAAAATAAACAAACATACGTAATATCAGATTAAAATATATTAATAGAATTGAATGCAAATGATTTATTTTTCAGCATTTTTTCTTGTATGTGTCGATAAATTTGTACATTTTATGAAGTTTACAAATATTTATTTGTGTTTTTACAATCATCGTTTGGCACCTGAATACAGAAAGGCTACTCAATTATAAGTTGCACTTAAATATCGTGCCATCTCTGTCATTTTCCAAATTCGGGCATAATATATTTGTTTTCACTGTATGAAGACTTAATAGATAAAATAAATTAAAATGGAAACAAATGAAAATAAGTTTTAAAACTAAAATTACATTTAACTGAACGTTAGCTTTCGACAAATTAACTTTGATAGATTTATTTGTTACATATTACGTGTAATAACGAAGTAGGATAAAAAAGCGACATTCCATGTATCGATTTAAAATCGAGTTGTTATAGAAAGTGAGTGCGTGAGTGCGGCTACCGGCAAACATTTCACTCAAGTGTTGATATAAAACATCGATTTAGATTTTTGCATGTTAATCGATTGTTTTTATTCATTAATATTTATTATACAGATATAATATCTAGAAATATTTAGCATGGTCAGTAGGAATATTTTATGATGGTAGCTAAAGAAGTAAGTAAGAATCGTTTTAGGTGGCGCTCTGTTGTTTTTACCTCGCCTGTGTTGTCCTATGGATACCCTATCGGACAAAAGTAGATGTTTATGGATGTACACTGTACATTCATTCCAGTTATTTGATAAGCAGGAACGAAAATATTGATTGCACACATGTATACATTCAGAAATGTATGTTTTGTAGTAATATTGTTTAGAAAAGTCTGCATTTAATATTTATTTTTGTCAACTTGTCATCTGATTTCTGATTGGCAATAAAATGAATGATTACGTGTTAATTAACTGCTGAAATAATAAAATAATTATGATTAATGTAGGTACTAACAATTACTTTAGTACAGAATACTTACACGTCAAAAGTCCACATCAATTATTTTACAGTCACCACGAATATTAATTTTGACAGCACTTTAAAAACAAATATACTACTATCAAGATCTCTTTGGTAGACGTCACGCTGTTTTGTTATCGAATCAAAATCATTGCGGATTCGTGTCACGTCATCTGACGTCATAACAAGAAAGTCACCTGTCTATTTCGGTTGATCTTATACACTATTGGTCTATAAATCGTGTTCTTGATTTTTATGAAATATTTATTGCCCTATTTTTAATAGTATTTAAATTCATTGAGTCAGATTCCAGTTTCTATTGAAAATTTTGTAAAAAAATTAAACTGCGGACCACCCAATGGTTTACTGAGCATCCAGCTTGAAGCAGAAGTAGGAACGGGGTGGTTATTAGTTAGTAAGAGTCTGACACTCCCTCTCGGCTCACCCAAGGCGGGAAAATTCATTGGATGACTTTCCCCACTCAAAAAAGCATCTCTATCAGCTAATTTACCCTTAATCAATAAAGTGATGAGACAGCTCCACTTTATGAATAGCTTATTTCTTAATAAATCTCGCATAAATTACAGTAATAACAATCTTAGGTGGAACACACTATTATTACTTGTTATGTTTTGCAAAACTTTATAAAAATGCAACTGTTCCAACAGAAGCTACATATCTTCAAAATAATAAAGTATAGATATCATACATACAACATATGTTACTATCTGCATCAAGATAACCAGTCGCGTGCCACACATCCATCAGACTGTTGTATTGAGGATATTATGTCTTATAACATATATTTTGTAACATATTACTACTCGAAGTTTGCACGAATTTTATAGATTAACAGTGGCATGGTTTGATAAACGTAGTACTGTCTCGATCTCGATACTCTTGTATGTACATAACATCACGCCTTTTATCCCGAAGGGGTAGGCAGAGGTGCACATTATGCCACTGTACAATGTAACACCCACTTTTCACTATTTATGTTACGAGTCCCATGTAATAGGGGGTGAGCCTATTGCCATATACCGGACACAATTCCAGACTCCGTGCTACTACTGAGAATTTTCTTGTATGTAGTCTTTACGTTATAATTTAAATTGTCGTTCACTATGCCTTAGGTTCCTTCCTTAGTGTAATACAGCTGATTTTATGCTGGAATGTCTGGAATCTACTTCTAGAATATGCTGGACATTTCCTTCTAGAAGTTACCAAATAAGAGGTATTGACAGCAGATCTAATGTGTCTGAAATTCAAAGTAAAGTGGATGAGAGCAGGAATATAAAAAAAAACTTAGGTACGTTTAAATGGAATGCATTCCTATATCTTATGTATTGTTTAAACAAAGGTTGGCTTCGGGAGGCATTCTTGAGATTTAGGTGGGCCATGAAGAATTCTGGTAACTGAATCCTTTCTGAATACAATAGTATTGCTATATTTATTTTCGATAAGTAACCAAAACAGAAAAAGTAAGAGAAACAACAATTCCAATATTACCTCTATATTTAGACTACAATATTATAAATACTGCCTCGTTGGCCGTGTGGTCGTAAGTGCGACTGCCGGGCAAGTGGTCTCGGGTTCGATTCCCGGGTCGGGCAAAGTAATACTTTTAAATATAATAGTTTTAAAAAAAATTCAGTAGTAGCACGGAGTCTAGAATTGTGCCCGATATATGGCAATAGGCTCACCCCATATTACATGGGACTCGTACCATAAATAGTGAAAAGTGGGTATAACATTATACAGTAGCATAATGTGCATCTCTGCCTACCCCTTCGGGGATAAGAGGCATGATGTTATGTTACGTAATATTACAAATACAATTTTTTTGTTTGTTACCATTTATAATTTTTGACGATAAGAAGAGCCGTGCGAAGCCGGGGCGGGCCGCTAGTTAGAATAAAACGGGAGCGCTTAGATGGGCGCGCTTCAAAACGGGAGCACTACGAGGAATACCTCGACAGAAAAGTTCAAATGAAAACCTGTGAATTTATTATTCTAAGGGCCTGTTTCACAATATTTGGATAGCCGTTATCTATCAGATAAATTTGAATTAAGAACGTAATTTGTATGAACTGTAGGCTGCTCACCTACGTTTTATTATTTATCATTTCATTATTCTGTACCTTCCTCATATTCATAGCTGTCGCATAAGTTTATCAGGTACTTATATAGAGAAGGTGAAACCGCCGCTAAATGTATTTTGCCGACTTGCAAATCTTATGTTACGCCACTGAATACCTAACACGTAAAATACAGACAAGAATTACGATCATACTTATACATTCTAAGTAATCAACAAAAAGTCTCTATCCGAAAAATGTAAAACAAAAGTAATTAACATTACCATACTTACGTATATAGCCGTAAGCATACATACACATATGTAATTATAACTATATTATCATTACGCAACAATATACCGAACGTCACCGATAGAGAACCAAGTAACCGAAACAAAACAATGCATGCACAAGAAAGTCATAAAAAGGCAATTTTTCATTTAGTATGAATGA